GGTGGCAGCAGAGTGGCCACCAGGGAAACCTGGGGAGGGCTAGCCTCCCACTAGTTCGAATTAAGGGGCTACACACCCCTTAATTTGAACTAGCTAGTTCGAACGAGGCTTAATCCTCGTGGAATGAGGATTACCTAGTTCGAACTAAGTGCTCCTTTCGTTCGAATTAAGTTCGAACTAACGGAGCGCTAGTGTAGCGCCTATGAAAGTTAGTTCGAACTAACTTTGTAGTGTAGACATACCCTCAGAGTGGAGCTGCAGACCACTTTGAGAAACACTGACCTAGATTGTGGGAGAACCCAATTCTAGTCCGAGCTCTTGCCTGATGTGAAGCAGGGGCTTGAATTTATCCTCCCTTGCTCTCCCCCTGAGTACACTGCCACCAAACTTGTGCTCTTTACACTACCAGACACTTTCCAAGCAGGGAAGAAGAAGACTTCAAGGAAACGGGGATGTGGGAGCTCATATTGGGTGGAGTGGAAGGCAGTCTAGGATTGGGGATTTCAGGAAGGGCTCATGGTGAATGCGGAAAGTGAGAATAGGTCATTTTTAGGCAGGATGGGAATGGGGAGAGTTAGTTGCTTTTTGGAGAAGGGGGAGTCGGGGAGAAGGTGGATTAGGAGTAAAAATAATTCCATTAATGCCTCCACACCCATACAAATTATAACTGGCTCCAGTGACTCACTACAGATTTCCCCGCAAATTGTCCTCTGGCCTGAGATGCAGGAGCTTGGAGGGAGAGTGTTTCATTCTGTGAGCACTAGGAGGGTATGTCTACACTAGCCACCCTAGTTTGAACTAGGGTGGCTAATGTAGTCATTCAAACTTGCAAATGAAGCCCGGGATTAAAATATATCGGGCTTTATTTGCATGTTCCTGGGCGCCGCCATTTTTAAATGCCCGGTAGTTCGGACTCCCTGCCCGCGGCTACACGCGGCACGGGCTCGGTAGTTTGAATTAAAGCTCCTAATTCAGACTACCGTTACTCCTCCTGCAATGAGGTGTAACAGTAGTCCGAATTAGGGGCTTTAGTTTGATCTACCTAGCCCGTGCTGTGTGTAGCCGCAGGCAGGGAGTCCGAACTACCGGGCATTTAAAAATGGCGGCGCCCAGGAACATGCAAATAAAGCCCGATATATTTTAATCCCGGGCTTCATTTGCAAGTTCGAATGACTACATTAGCCACCCTAGTTCAAACTAGGGTGGCTAGCATAGACATACCCAAAGAGAGTAAAACAGGGGTGGGCAATAATTTTTGGCCAGGGGCCACCCCAGAAGGGACAGGGCCTGAACTGGAAGGGACGGGGCCAGGATGCTTCTGGCTTCCCCATCCACAGACCATGATTAGTCTGGGGGTGGGGGAGCCCCTTTGCCCCCCACTTCCCATTAGGCACCCATGTCCCTGGCAGGGTGGGAAGAGGCTTTGCACACTCCCCCACGCCCAGGCCAATCAGGGTTTGGGGGCGGGGGGAGCATGCGAAACCTCCTCCTGCCCTACCCCTCCCGCTAGGAGCACACAGCACTTCTGTGCTCCTTGCAGGACAGCAGGAGACTTTGCGCACTGCCCCTTTGCCCCCCACTTCCCATTAGGCACCCATGTCCCTGGCAGGGTGGGAAGAGGCTTTGCACACTCCCCCACGCCCAGGCCAATCAGGGTTTGGGGGCGGGGGGAGCATGCGAAACCTCCTCCTGCCCTACCCCTCCCGCTAGGAGCACACAGCACTTCTGTGCTCCTTGCAGGACAGCAGGAGACTTTGCGCACTTCCCCCGCCCCAGGCCCTGACTGACCTGGGGGCAGGGAAGCTCCACGAAGCATCCTTTGCCCTGCCCCGCCCTGCACTTTGAAGTGCCATGCACTCCTCGCAGGGTGGGGGGGGGGGGCAGAGGAAACTTCACGCAGCTCCCCCGGCCCCAGGCCAATCAGGGCTTGGGCTTGGGGAGGGGGAGGGGGAGTGTGTGACATCTCCTCCCACACCTCAAGCAGCACATGGCTCTTCAAAGCGCTGCGTGCTCCTGACAGGGCAGGAGGAAGCTTTGCGCACTCCCCTACCCCCAGGCCCTAACTAGCCTAGGGGTGAGGGAGAGGTAGGGCCTCCGCGGACCAGATCAACCCGCTTGGCGGGCTGGACGTGGCCCACGGAGGCCCTTTTGCCCACCCCTGGACTAAAATCAACCTCAGCCCCAACCTAGGAGACAGCAAACCCAGACAGCCCCTTTGGGAGCTGGGAATATATGGAGATACATTGTGTTCTCAGAGAGCGGACGTCACACACATGGCAGAACACGTGTCATCCTGGTGCTTCTTCGGGAAACAAGAAAGGTGAAGC